TTACGTATTTTATTATTTTTTTCTTTTAACAAAAAAAACAAATTTAAAATTTAGATAAACTTATACTGGCTTAAAACGAAGATTAATTAAATAATTTGCTTAACAATAATTATCAAAAAAGTAATGGAATTCCCATAAAAGATGATTATATTTAAGATTCTTGTATTAAATTATTGAATATTTTACATTTATCTGATGAATAATTACTATAGTAATTTAATAAAAGTTAAAATGAAATTATGGAGGAGGAAAACATAAATGAAGAATAAGAAAAACAAAAAGAAAAACATTAATTAAAAGAAAAAATTTAGGACTAAATATAATAAGAAAAAACTGATAATAATTAAAAAATAATTGAAGAAAAAGACAATAATAAAAGTTAATAAGATATAGATTTAGTCTGTGAAGAAGAAGTAAATAATCTTTTTTTTTGTATTATTTTAATTTAAAAAATACATAAAAGGAAATTGATATTTAAGAAGAAAATAAAGAATAATCTTTAAGTAATGAGAATAATGAATGTCATTCATATTCTTTAAAAAAAAAATAATAATTGTTCGAAATTAGAAGAAGTGCAATATTAAATACTTTTATTTAAATATTAAGAAATTTAGAACAAAAAATATGAATAAAAATTATAAATATATAAAAATATATATATATATATATATTTAATATATATAAATATATAAAAAAATATATATTTATTAATATTTATATATATATATATATATATTTTTTTTTTTTTTACTAATAATTATATTTGTTTGTTGGTTTTTTATTTTTTATTTTTTGCGCCTTTCAATATAAATTTAATTAAATAAAAGAGGGAATGAATACAATAAATATATGTATATATAATTAAAATTTAAGAAAAAAAAAATTAATTTTTTTATTAAATCTACATAAAACAAAAAATTAATTAAATAAAAAATGGAATAAAACTAAATTTTTACTTAATAAGAACATAGCAGTTAATAATAATAAAAAATCATAGAAGAAGCCAAACAACCATAACAAGAAATTTTAAGTATAATAAAAAAAAATATAAAATAAATATATAACAAAAAAAAAAAAATAAAGAAGAAAACAAGAATAATATTAATAATTTTAATAATGTTAAACAAAAAAAGAAAAACACTAGTAGATGTAAAATATGTAAAAAAGGAGGAAAAAAATCTACTTTTACTAGTTGTAAATAATGTAGAAGATTTATTCATTATGTATGTATTAATATTTAGAAAAATGAAGCTCCTAAAAAATACTTGTGTGTCGATTGCAAGTATAAACTATATTTTTTTTTTTTATTTTTCTCTTTTATTTTTTATTTTTATTTTTATTTTTAAAAAAGGGAAAAAAATAAATAAATAGCTAAAAAAAATAAAAAAATATAAAAATAATAAGAAAAAAATAATTAAAAATTAAATAATTAAATTAATCATAACATCAGTGAAGTTAATTTAATATAGAAATTTCTTTAAAACAAAAAATAAAATAATACTTTATCTTAACAATAATAATAATTACAAGAATTTAAATAAAAATAGTAAATAAAACTAATATAAAAATAAATCTATTTTAAAATTAAAAAAAATAATAATAAAAAAGTCCATAATATGTTCAAAATGGTAAAGTTATTTTTCCAATAGAAGATACTCTTTTAACTATATATGATTTAGCATTTCCTGATACATAAACAAATACAAAGGTAGATTTATATTTTATTTAATTTATTGTTATAATTAAAATAAAGCGTCCTTATCCTAAATAAGTAGAAAATATTCCACATGAATACTATGATAGTATATTAATGTTATGGAATTTTATAAATAATTATTCAGAACATTTAGATAATATAAAATTTACATAAGAATAATTATATTTTACTATAGTAATATAAAAAAATAATTTGTATATTTTATTTAATAATAAAAAAAAAGGATTTACCAAATGAAGAAGGAAAACCTTTATTAGACATAATTATTAAAAACTTAATAAAATTTCCTTTAGAAGATATATATAATACAAGCAAAATAGAAACTCATAAAGAATTGAGTGATCAAGCATTTTTTTCATTAACAAAATAAACAAAAGAATTAGAAATATTAGATCTTCTAATGACTAAAATATGGCCTAATTTTATTATTAACTTACAATATTTTAGTTAATATTCATTAAATGTAAATTAAAAAAAAAAAAAAAAAAAAAAAAATTAATTTAGTTTAAAGAAGATGATTAATTGTAAGAAATATTATAAATAATTTAAAACAAAGATTTTAATAATTTCTATATTTTCAATACAAAATAAAAAATAAAATTTTTAAATCTTCTAATTTCTGTAGTTGAAGATTCAGATTCATTTCATGATAATGTAATGTCGGCAAGGCAAGATAAAGTACACGAAATGATAAAAGAAAAAAATGATTTATTGATTGAAATAAAAAAAGATGAGGTCGATTTAATAGTACTTCAATAAAAATTAAAAGAACTTGAACAAAATAAAAATAATAAAATAAGTTAAATTAATGAAAATATGCCATAATAAAGAATTGAAGCTATCAAAAAATAAAAACAATTGGAAAAAGAAAAACTTGAAATGACAAAACAATAAAATTAAATATATAAAATAGAACTAAATTTAAATAAAAAAAAATTAAAAATAAAATAAATAACTAAAGTTTTACCTTATTATATTAATAATGCTTAATTACTTGGTTATGATCATAATAAATCTGAATATTGGGTAAATATAAATATATATATATATAAATATATATATATATATATATATATATATATATATATATATATATATATATATATATATATATATATATATATATATATATATATATATATATATATATATATAGAAAATTCATATATATATATTGAAATTCATATATATATATATATTTTATATACATATTATATTAAATATATTTTTTTAACAAAAAAAATTAAATAAAATAGTACTTTTGTAATGATAAAAATGTCATTTATTGTAGATATAAATAAAGTATAGTTTCCGAAAAAAAAAATTGGAGTGTTTATAATAATTATAATGATATTAATATTCTTATGAAAAGTTTAAACAAAAAAGGTGTAAGAGAAAATAATTTATATGAAAATTTAAAAAACTTGCTCAAAAATTAATTTACTGAAGAAAAAGAAGAATAAATACAAAATGAAGAAAAAATAGTAAAAGTAGATATTAAAAAAGAAACATAAGAAGATTTTAAAGCTTTTTTATAAACCTTTACAACTAAATCTAGTTCTGACTTTAAATTTAGAAATAATCCTTATTTTTTTATCTTGCCTAATATTTAGGAAATGATTTCTTTAGTTTTATAAACAGAACAAAGTTATTCAAAATACTTAGAATTAGCTAAATTATAGTGGTAAACTTTAATTATTAGAGAATAAATAGTAAAAAATTAACAATATTATATGTAAACATTTATTAATAAAATAAGATTTAAGAAATAAAAGATTGTACATGTATAAATAAAATGCATGATCTGTTAATTTAATTAAACGAAAGTTTTTAAATGTCAGATTTTGTATAAAATGCATTTAAATATGATTTAAATTCTATTTCAGAAGAAAATTATAATTAAAAATAAAAATTCAGAAAAACTCCTTGTAAATTAAACAATTAAAATAATATTATTTATTTATTTTTTTAGTAAAATTATGGAAATTCTAAAATGAAAAAATGAAAAAATATTGGTAAAATTTACCTTAAAATAATTTATTAGACTCTTATTTATCAACTATAGTATTCTGTTATTAAGTTTAAAAATTTGTTGAAAAATTTTAAGTTGAATATATCTAATAATAGCAATAATAAGAAAAATAATAAAAAATATAAGAACCAGAAAGACAAAAATAGCAAAATCCTCAAAAAAGGAAACTCAGAAAAATAGTTTTGTAGAAATACAGAGATATTGAATAATAATCTTAGTAAGAAATGGAGTACGGTGATGATTACTTAGATTAATTTGATAATGAAAGTAGTTCTGAAAATTATTTTAAATCTTAAAAGAAATTAAAAATAAACAGACATAATAAAACTAAAGACAGCAGTGAATGTTAACAAGAGGAAAAGCAAAGTTCTGAATACAAAGTAGAAGAAAAAAAAGAACAAGATGTATTTTTACAAAATTTATTAAATATATTTTATTTTAAAAAAGTAATGGGATGAAGAATGTAAAAAATGTGGATAACATGGTGAAGTTATAATGTGCGACAATTGTCCTTCGGTTTTTCATATGTAATGTGTAGATTTAAAAGTAAAAATAAATACAAATATATATATATATATATATATATATATATATATATATATATATATATATATATATATATATATATATGTTTTAATATATTTATATTTATAAATATGTTTATATATATATGTCTATATATATAAATACAATATCTTTATATCTATTTATATTTTTCATATATATGTATATTCATATGCTTATCTTTATGTATATTATTTTTATTTTATAGGAAATTCCTAAAGGAGAATGGTATTGTTTAGAATGTATGTAAAAACAATAAATGTAAAGAATTACAAGAAACGGATCAAGAAGATTTTATTAAAAATGAATAAAAATATATTTATAATTTTTAATTTTATTTTTATTTTTATTTTTTCTTTTTTAAAAATTTTTGATTTTATATTTTTACTAGATATTTTATTTTTTTGTTTTCAAAATATAAAATATCTAAAAATTTTTTATTTTTATCCTTAATTTTTTAATCTATAAAAATAAAAAAAATATGTAAAACCCTAAATATAATAAAAAGTAATTTATTTAAACAATACTAACTATTTTTCACTATTAATTTTTATATTTTCCACATCATTTATATGGATTCCAATATTAATAATGTTGTTTCCTTTAATAATTTTATTAGTGATTCTCTCAAAATTCACAAAAGTAATATATATATATATATATAAATTAAAATTAAAAAAATAAGTTCGGTAATGTAATAAATTAGCAATATTATAATCTATATGATTGGCTTTTCTATAAATCTTAAATTCCTCGTAAATTTATGTGGAGTTTAATATATAACACAATGTGTTTTATATATCCACAAACATAATGGAAATCAATGAACTATGGTTATGCTACATTAAAAGATGACGGAGTCTTAATTCAGAATTTAAAAAGTGAAGATGAAGATGAAAGATTATGTTTGTAATTATATCATTATATGGCCACATGTAAAAAAATATATTAATAAAAATATAGTATTAAATATATTATATATTTTTATAGAATAAAATAAATAATAAAACCTTAATGGATTAAATATTTTAGAAATAGGAAGCGGAAGAGGAGGTGGATTAGAATATATAAGTAAATATTTAAATCCTTTAAAATGTGTTGGTGTAGATTATTCTGAAAACTAAGTAGCTTTTTGTAAAAATTAATATGCAAATAATCAGAAATTAGAATTTTTTTAAGTATTTTTTTATATTTTCTTTTGTGGGGGGGGGGGGGGGAAAAATAAAATGTTTTATATATTTAAAAAATAAAGGGAGATTCCGAAAATTTAGATTAAATATAAGAATTTACTCATAATAATTTCGATATAGTTATTAATGTAGAAAGTAGTCATTGTTATGGAAGTTTTGATAACTTTGTTAATTAAGTTTGTAAATTGTTAAAACCCTAAGGTATTTTTTGCTTTACTGATTTCAGAACATTAAATGAGGCTTAAAATCTTTAAAAATATTTTGAAAATCATAATTAATTAGTAATTATTAATATATATACATATATTTTATATAATAATAAGGAATTAGTTGAATATGAAGATATTACAGTTAATGTTTTATAAAGTTTGAAATTGGATGAAAAAAGAAGAACTTAATTAATTGAAAATAATGTTATCTTCTGTATATTTTATAATAATAAAATATTTATATTATATTATAAATCTTAAAAAATAAAAATAAAAAATAGTTTTAAGACCTTTTTTCTGTAAATTTAGTGGTTTATAAGGCACTAGAATAAATTAAGAATTTGCTACAAGAGAAACAATATATGTAGCTTACTTTTTAAGAAGAAAAAATAATTGAAAACTAAAAAAAAAACAACAAAAATAATAAAAATATTTTTTATAGTTTTTTTCAATAAATTAAATTTAAAAAATTTAAAAATTTTAATTTAAAAAATAAAATAAAAATGCATTCAGTTTAATATTTACCTGGACAAGGATAATCCATAAAACTTAACTTATCCCATAATATAAGTGAAAATAAAATGCTAGAAGTTCGTTTTGAATTAAATTCGACAATAAGTCAAGTTAAATAATAAATAGAAAAAAGATACGGCACATCGAGTTAAATGATGTAGTTAGTTTTAGAAGATTCTTAAGGAAATAAAATTTCTTCAATGAATGAAGATAATTAATAATTAGGTTATTATAATCCTTAGGATAATTATACAATACATGTAATTGATTTAAATCCTCATTCAGTTCTAAAAGACATCACTGATGTAAACTAAGTAAAGAAATATTAAATTTCAGAAGAAGATTATGATAAAATACCAGATAATTTTAGAAAATTCAAATAAAAAATAGACTAAAATAATCCAAATTAAAACAATAATATAGTATTTGTAGAAGATAATTATTTATAAGATTTTGCTGAAAAAATGCATAAAAACGATAGATGTTAAATTATTAATACTAAAAACAGAGGAACTATATGTAAAAAAAAAATCATAGTATTTTTTTATTTAAAAAAAATATAGAATATATAGGAAAAATACCCGATCTTGGTTAAGGATATTATATTGGAATTTAACTTGATGAACCTATAGGAAAAAATAATGGATCTTATAATGGAGTTAAATATTTTAACTGTTAAAATAAATATGGGTTATTTATAAGACCTGATAAAATTGAAACTGGAGATTTTCCTGAATTAGATCTTGATGATTTATACTCGGATGATGAAATTTGATCTTTTCTTAAAACTTTTTTATTAAATTAAATATATATATATATATATATATATATATATATATATATATAAATATATATATAATTTAATGTATTTTTTTTATTTATTTAATCATTTATTTTAATTTTTTAAAAAAAATTATCATGTTTTTTTTTTTTAATTTTTATTAAAATAAATATATATGTGATAAAGTATTTTTATATTTAATAAATTTAGATTTATTTTAAATAGAAAATAAAAAATATATTATTATTATCTTTTTTTACAAAATAAAATAAAATAAAATAAAAGCTAAAAAAATTAATTATGTAAGAATCTATAACAAAAGAAATATTTATAGAAAAATATTTAATATTACAGAATTCACAAAATAAGTACAATAGAGAACAAGCAAACTAATATATAATAAATTTTTAAAAATCACAATAATCCTGGTAAATATCACGTGAACTATTAATCACAGAGGATCCTTAAATATAATTTTTAGGAGCATAAATAATATACTTAAAATTAAAATAATAATTCTTACAATTAACACCAGAAAACTAAAATGAACTTAAATTATTTTTATTCTAATGCTTAGAAAAAAACTTACAAACTCCGACTTTAAGATAATTATGCTCTGCAATATCTATATTAGGTATTATAGGAATATCTTAAAGGTAAATAATTTTATATTTGAAAAAAAATAATATTAATATATTATTTATTATAAAAATAAATATTAAAAAAAACATAATTTTAATATTTATATATATATTGAAATTATTATTAAACAATAATAATATATAATTATTAAAAAAAATATATAATATATAAAAAAAAATATAAACTAATAAAAATATATTAATAATAATAAATATATTTATATATATATATATATATATATATATATATATATATATATATATATATATTTATATATACATTTTAGTACATGGCATGATTTTATTGAAAATTTAATATTCTATATGCAAAAAGGTGAAAAAGAATTAATTTTAGGATTAGAAATAATAAAAAGTTTACCAGAAAATCTTTAAGATATGATATTAGGATAATCTCAAGTTAATTAAATTAAAGAATTTCTCTTATCAAAAAAGACTTATATATTTTAAATATGGGATTCTTTATTAATTCTAAATAATTCTAATATTATCGAAAAAACTCTTTAGTGTATAAATTCATGGAATTTTGTTAATTTTTACATATTAGATTAACTTTCTATATTAGAAAAGATTCTAAATTAATAAAATTATAAAGAAATTGTTTGTGAAATTCTTTAAAAAACTTTAAAAAACTCTCCTAATATCCACATATTAGAAGAAAATACTCTCCATGAAACAAAAAAGCATCTTCCAGAAAACGAAGTTCTTTCAATAGAAAAATTCTTATTTTTTGTAATTACTAAAGTGCTTTTTCATGTGAAGTCCTTCTTTAAATTTTTGAGGTTTTCCCGATTTTATTAATTGATAGTAATGAGGAAATTCATAAAAAACTAACATAAATTTTCTTTTTTTTCCTTTCTTCAGAAAGCTTCCTAATATCCTCTACATCATTTTCTTTTTTTTAATAATATACTAAAAACTTAAAAGCTTATAAACAACCGAATGTGGAAGATTTCCGTTTAGAAATCTACATAAAAAGTCTAGAAATTCTCCTTTAGAAAATAAAGTGTAAATCCCATGTCATAAACCTTAAAAAAAACACCACAAATAAAAAAAAAATCATTAATCTAGAAACCAACGAAGAAGAAAACTACGAAGAAGAAAATTTACAAGAAGAAAACGATGAAGATATCCAGTTTAATGAATATAGAGAAAATACACAAGAAGTATTTTATAATATATTTTAAGCTCTAAGGGATTTTAGATAAGAAAAAGGCATTTTTTACATATATAATTACCTCTTCTAAAATCTCGATAAAGATATATAAACCTCAGAAGCCATAATATATGCCAGTATATAATTTATAGAACTTGAGTCTTTATAAAAACTAAACACTAATGCATAATAAATGCTTCTTTACATAGCTGAAAAAATGCCAATTTCTCCCTTGATTTTATAAACTGCTTTTTAATATATTTATGAGGCTCTTTTTTCTTTTAAACATTAAGAAAATGAGTTTTTATTTAAAAAAATTCTCATTTTTTTAATCCAGAATTTTTTTTATGAAATATAAATATAAAAATAAGCCGCTTTAACTTTCCAAAGTCTACTCGAAAATACTGAAATTGGTCAAAAAAATGACATTTTTGAAATTTTATTGTAGTTTTTTTAAAAGATTTTTTACTAAAAAGCCTCTTTTTTTATCCAAAAAAGTGTTTTGGAAGGAATTCTAACCTTTTTTATCAAAATCGAAGACTTAAACTAGAAAAAAATACTCCTAGAAAATTTCCTTAACGAACTCTAAACTTTCCTAAACACAAAAATTAACGAAAAAACCTATATTTCAGCCAAAGAAACTCTCGAAATTTACAAAAGTATATTCCAAGCTTTTGACGTTTCTGAAAAAAAGAAGAAAAAATTCTCCGAAGAAATATCAATCTATTTTTTCAGACAAAACAAACAAAAGCTACAGTTTCTTTTCCAAAGCTTCGCTTCAATTAAGTTCAAAGACTACTTCCTACCCTTCATAGATCTCTATATTTCTATAATAAAAACCTCAGGGGATCTGTTAGGCTCTGAATATGAGGAAATGTTGGATAGTGTGATGCATTTTTGGAAGGAAAACCCAATAAAATACTTCCAAGTACTAAAAATTATCACCTTTTTGTTATAGGAAAACCCTAATAATTTCTAAAAATGGGTATATTAGTCTTTTGTGGGTTTTAATGAATTTTTACTGTAATTTTTTTCTCAAAAAAATGAAAATTTAGACCCTGATTTGTTAAAAATTTACGTGGAAATTTTCAAAAATTTAATTTCAAAATTTCCTTCTTTTTTTTCACAAAACCAGCTTATTTTTGAAAAAAATACCCTTTTTATATTGAACATTTTCTCCAAAATAGAAAATTATGGTATGACTCGGGAAATATTACTCTTCTTAAGCTCCCTAATTTAAAGAAATGAAAACTTCCTAAACAATAATGCTTTCTTGAATATTTTCGCATCAATAATTTAGGCTATAGGTGTTATTTAGAAAGTTCAAATTAATTACATAGCAGCCATAGTGATTTAATGTGTGAAAAACATCAAAAATTATCAAGCATGCCTAGATGTAGTTGAAAGAAATTTAACATTTGAAGATGATGTTTTATTAGAAAATAAAAATTTATAAGTAAATGTATTGTTGATATGGCCTAATTAGGAAATTTGGCACTTGTAAAAAGGGTTTTAAGTGCTTTTTATTCATATGTGGCAAAGTAGAGTAGTTTAGAAGATATACTATATGAGTATTAATTATTATGATTTGGTATATTAATTATTATGTTTATGGAGTATTAATTAATTATTTATTTTAAATTTTTTTTTTTTTAAGTTTAATTTTTTTATGTGTTTAATTTATTTATAGGCAAAAAATAAAAAAATTAAATTTTTTTATTTAAAAAAAAAAAAAGATATATATGCTATTTATTAAAAAAAAAAAAAAAAAAAAAAAAAATTTAAAAAAAAAAAAAATGATAAATTATAACGATGTCAGATATAAAAGAACTTTATGCAAAAACTTTCAAACGAGTAATTTAGCAAAAAATAATAAAAAGATTCTTAAATTAAAAAATAAAAACTAAAATATATTCAAAAAAAAATAATAAAAAAAAAAATTATTATAAGATTACATCTATAAAAATAAAAAATAAAAAAAAACAATAGCTTACTAATTTAATATATTTTAACAAAAGCCGGTTAATGTGTAATGGGAGTAAGATGTCACTTTGCACATGGTCAAGAAGAAATAAGAAATCCAGCATTAGATGTAAAAAATAAATATTCCAAAATAAAAATTTTTATATTATATAATTATAGCCTCTTGTCTAATATCCTACATTAGCTGCTATAATGTCTAATCCAGCTTCTTTATCAAGTAAAATGATAAAATGTAAATATAATGATATTGGTAGCTTGTAAATATGGAGTTTCTTGTCATTATTCTCACGGAGAACCTTAATTATAATAATAAATATTAGCATAATTAATAATATTAGGAAATGCTTTATTAAAATTAATTACATTAATAATAAATTTATTAGTAATAATAAATTGTAATCCTTAATACTATTACTAATAATCTGTCTTAGTTATAATAATAATACTAAGCCATTTAACCATAATAAGTAATAATTAAAATTATTATTATATATATATATATATATATATATATATATATATTATATATATTTATATATATATATATATATATATATTTATATATACATTTTTTTTAGATTTCTCCAGAATAAAAGAAGAATATAACAATTTATTAATTATAATTTATGATAAAAGAAATGAGTAAAATTAATATACCAAATGAATATATGGCAATTGTCTAAAGAGCAGCAGAAATACTTTAAGTTTAAAATATTTAAGGATGTTCATAATTATTAAATGTAAATATTTATTTATATATTTTTAATATTTATTTAAAATTATTTATATAATTATTTATTTATTTTTATTTTTTAATTTTTTAGGAAGTTATTAATCGAAATGATTGCCCTGCTGAAGAAAAAAAATAATATGAAAATATTATTAATTAAGCTTAGATTTTGGCACAAAATTTAATGGTTTAATATTCTGGCATATAATAATAACCATTATAACCAAATTAATAATGAAACTTATTTTAAATTTATTAAAAAAAAAAAAAAAATATATATATATTTATATTATTTAAATAATTAAAAAAAAAAACATTAAATAATAATTTTTACTAGTTTATGAATTCATAAATTTATAAATATTTATATATAAATAAATGAAAATATTTTTATTTAATTATATAATTATTTCTTTAAAAAATATGCTTTAAACATTTTTTCTATTTAATAATATAAATTATTAAAAAATTTTTAGATTAGAATATTAAATCTTTTAAAATATATATAAAAAAAAATTATATATTAACAAAAAAATTTAATTATAAATTTTAATATTAAAAAACATTTTAACATTTAAAAATATAATTTTTTTTTTTAAAAAAATAAAAATTTAAATTATAAAAAAAAAATGAATTCAAATGATATTAATAAATAACAAGTATAATAAAAATTATAAGACCTAAAATAATCTATATTAAAAAATAAACAATAAATAAATTAAATCCTTAAAAAAGATGATTCAATAACATTAAACGATACTAATAAATTTTTTTAAAATACGAATATTATCAGTAATTAAAACATTTTAGAAGCCAATAAAGAAAATTCATTAAATATAACTGCAAGTAATATATTTTTAAATACAAGTAACAATATAAACAGCTCATAAAATCAAATAGACTATCAAAGTATAATATAAAATAAATAATAAAAATTAAATAACTAAGAAAAGTCATTTAATTATAATTAAATAGGTCAGATTATATAAAAGCAAATGAAGAATAAAACACAAGTAAAAGTTAATAATGAAAGCACATTTAATACCGAAATAATATCATCTTTCGAAGTTAATTAAAATAATGTTTATTAAAATAATCAATAAAAATAATAATAATATTAAAAAATATTCATTCCAATAATTTTTTTAAAAAATAATTTTTAAAATTCGTAAATAATGCCTAATATGTATATTGTAGATTTATATAAACTCGAAAATATTATTTATAAAAATGAATTTTTCACTATTTTTAAAGTACATATATATATATAATTTTAAAATTATTAATATTTAATTAAGGCTGTTTCTTTAATTGAAGAAAGTAAAGGCCAATATGTACTTTTTAAAGTTTATGAATATAATCATAATTCATATAATTTAGGATTAAATGAAATAAATAATTATATGCATTTATATGAAAATAACATTAACTTTTTTGAATCAGGAATTATTAAATTGAAGGACTTTTTTTAGTTTAAAGTATTTAATATATATTATATAACAATTTATATCAATACTATACCAATATATTTTTTATAAAAATATAGGAAAATCTATGCTTAGTTTTTGATTATTAAGGAGAATATTTAACATAACTAAGTAGTAAATTTCTTAGTTTATGTACAATAAAATAAGTAATCAATTTTTATTTCATAAATTATATTAATAAAAATATAAATAAAAAAAGATAATTGCAAAGTTACTTAACATATTATAAAATTTTCAAAATTAAAATCTAGTATACAATAATTTGAATCCTTAAAATATAATATTTAATTAAAAAAAATAAATCATAAATGTATAAAAAAAATATATAAAATAAAAGATATTAATATTTTATATTAAGCAAATATATTTAAATTTTCATTATAATAATAGAATATATATATAAAAATTAAATAAATTATTTATATAAAACTTAAAATAGAAGGTTAAAAAAAATAGAAATAAATAGATATATTATATTATATATATATATTATTATATTTATATTTATTTATATATTTCTATAATTTTATATTTTTATATATATTATATTTTTAATTTTATTTATACATGTATTTTTGTATTTTTTTATATTATTATAAATTAGATTTTTATTTCTGATTTATCAACTTCTTTTATATTTAATAAATAATCTGAAATTTATTTGAATAATATTAAATATTTATCTCCAGAAACAATTTTAGGTTTTTAATCATCTTTTAAATCTCCAATATGGTCTTTAGGTTGTATTATGTACGAACTATTAGTAGGATAGCCTTTATTTTATACTAACGATAAAAAAGAGCTAATATTTATTATTAAATCAGTTTTTTAAGAAGAATAATTAATATTTTCACAAAAAAAAAATATTATATAAGAATAATTTTATTAAGATAATGAAGAAACTATTTGTAAAATATAAGAAATAAATGATAAAATAAATGAAATCAAAGAAAATATAAATATTGTTTAAGAATAGCCTTTACTTTTTGATTTTCTTTAATATACATTATAATAAAATCCTTCTAAAAGACAATCAATTGAATTTTTATTATAGCATAATTGGATAAATTGATTTTATTAATATATATATTGTTTAAATTATTTACAATTTATATAGAAAACATTAAATATTTGAAAATATAAAATTTTTATAAAAAATATATTTAAGATAAATTATGATTAAAAATTAATAATATTATTATTAAAATTTAAAATAAAAAAATAATAGGATAATTTTTTAACAAAGGTTTAAAATTAAAAAATAAATATAAAAAAGAATAATGAAAATTTTAAAAAATTATAAAAAATAATATATAAATATAAACAAGATATTTATAAAGATTTGGATATAGAATAAAAAATGTTAAAATTTAAGAAAAATAAAAATAAATTTATAGTAACTTAATATTAAAAAAAAATCATATTAACAAAATAAAAATATATTGAAGAAAAAAAAAATAAAAAAAATACTTTAATTAAAATAAAAAATATTAAATAAAAGAAAAAAATTAAAAATATAATAATTTATTTAAAAATAAATAAATATATTTTTATATATATATAAAATTATATTTTTATATATTTAATTTATAAAATATTATAAATTATATTTATATATTAACTCAATAATTATTAATTAAAACGTAAATAAATATTATTTATAAATACATTATAACTTTTCTTTTTTTAAAATATTAAATATATATATATATATATATAAATTTTTTTTATATATATATATTTTTTTTTTATATATAATATATTTTAATTATATCATTATTTTTATTGATTTTATAATTATTATAATTCTTAATTTACTTCCTACAAAAGTTATTTTTCTTCTTATTAAATAATATCATTATCTTGTTTGCAAGGATCTAATTTAATTAATTTATTACATTCTTAAAGCAATTCTGATCTAAAAACTCTTCCTTTGTGCTCTACATAATTTTTAACACTCTATAAAATAATTAACATTGTAAAAAAAAAAATTATAAAAAAAAAACTTCAAATTCTTTATCAGTAATGTATATATATTTTCCCCTTTCATCTATAACTCCATTAATATCTTTATTTATTTCCAAACTTTTAATTCTATTAATAATATCTGTAGTACTCATTTTAAATTCTCCAGCGATTTCTTCTAAAACTACTACTTTTCTTAATTTTATATATTAACATATTTTCTAATTCAATTATCTATAAAATTATTCTTCAGTTTATTAATCCATTTTATCATTACCGCTTTCCTCTACTTACATAAATTACTTTATTTAACATAAATAAATATATATAACAGAATAGAAATATATATATAAATAATTAATGTATATATAAATTAATATATAAATATATATATATATATATATATATATATATATATATATATTTATATGAATTTCATTTTTTACTTGCCATTTTTCAAATTCTTCCTATTCTTTTAATTTTTATAATTATTCTTGTTTTTTTTATTCTTCTTCCCTTTTAAATTCCTCTAATTCTCTTTGCCTTTCCTTTTCTTCATATTTCGAACGTTTTTATTATGATTATCTTTCTCTATGTTCATAATATTATTATATTTGCTTTTTTATATTTTATATATGTATTTTTAATTTCTGAAATATTTTTATTTTACCTCTCTTTATTATTATCGTTCTTATTTTTTTGCTTATTTTTTAGCTTTTCTCGTATCAGAAAAATCTGCTTTTTCCTCTTCTTCATCATCATTTTCATTTCCTTCTTCTGAATCTTCATTCTCCTCTGAATCTTAATTTTATTATAAATTTACTCTTTAAGCTCTTCTTTATGCATTTTATTATTAATTTGTTTATTGCTCCTTTATTTATTTATTAATTAATATATTTTATAATTTTTATTATACTGGTTCTTAACATTTAGTTGTATTTTATTTATGGAAAAATATATAATAGGAAACTCCTACTATTAATAAAGAAATTGTAAAAAATAAAATATCAAAAAGCATTTTTTTTTAAAAGATAAATTAGTTTATATTTTATAATCAATATTTATTGTATATTTTTTTTATTAAATAATATTAATAAATAAAATAATATATATATATAATTATGTTTAATTAACATTATTTTTTTTTAAAAAAAATTTATATGTATTTCTACGAAAATATAGATGACCTTGAAGAAAGTATCGAAAAAATAACTATAGAAAAACAAAAAATCCACCAAAAGTATATATCGGACATAAAATTTCTCAAAAGAATTCCTTCGCAACTATTTCATTCGACAATACAATTAAATTATGGTAAAAAATCGACCAAAAATATCATCTAATATCCACAATATAACTATCTCATTAAAAAATATGCGTTTCATTAGATTTTTCATTTAAATATTAAATTTTTGCAGCATCATCATTAGATTAAATAGTCTCTTTTTACAAAAAATCATCTAATAATTAGTTTAAAAAATCTCCTAAAAATCTAATTCATTAAAGTTCTGTAGTTTCTTGCATTTTTTATGATAACGTATAATTCTTTCAATTTCCAAAAAAAAAAAAAAACAAACAAAACAAAAAAAAGATTTAAGCATTAATAACTATAGATTTAGAAGGTCTTTTATATATATGGAATATTCATAATTTAAAAATAATCCGATAAATCAACGATTAGAAAATATCTACCTTTGATTTTATTTAATTGAACAAACAAGAAATTGCCTTTGCTAAAGACCAATACTATATATGTCAATATGATATATTCAAAAACGAAATAAAATATAATTAAAACGAAAATCCAATAAAGAAAGTCTCAAAAAGCATTTTAAATTAAAAAAATGTAACTCATTACATACTGCAAGCATATAATAATATGGGAAAATCTCCAATTGATACATATAATTAGTATAAATTAACCTAATACAGAAATAATAGGTATAATATATATATATATAAATATAAATAATATATAAATATAGGTTTTTCTATTTTATTTAATTAATATATTCTTTTTTCTATGAGAGTAGTCTTTTTGGATTCCACACTAAAATATTTACCAAAGTATATTAAATATATATGATTTAGAGACTAAAAATACCGGAAAGAAATACATAATATAAGAAGGAAGCTAACGAACATACAATTTCTAAGAGTTTTAAAAAAGAGAAAAAGAAAAAACAGAATTTTTATTTACACGAGAAGACGGAAATTTATGTAGTTTTATTTTAGATAAAAATTTTATTAAATAAAGTTTTTTTTGAATTTTTTTTTTTTTTTTTATAAAAAACCTTATTAAAATAAAACAAAAAATATAAAGAAAAAATATATAAAATAAGATCTTTTTTTTTTTTAATATAAATTTAAAAAAAAAAAAAATAATCACATAAAAATAACAATATGATTAATTAATCTTAATAAAAATTATGGTTTAAAAAGTAAACACTATAAAAATTTAAATAATTTTATTAATAAAAATATGTAAAAATTTATTTTATATAAAAGCTTTTAAATTAAAAAATTTTATTTATTCAAATAATGTTAAATAAGTAAAGCAATTATTAATAATAATAATAATATCGATTTATTAATATTTTTAAAAATATTAATATTCTCTTATTATTATTAAATTCAATTTTAAAATAATATAATTCTTTTGAAATACTAAGTATAAAGCCTGTATTTTTATTATTGTCAAATTTCATTCGTAGTGATTTGAGTTTAGGTGAAGTATTTGTTAGTAATTAATTAATAAAATAAAATATATATACTATTTATTTGTATTATATGATTATTTTATAGATTTTTTAATAGGAAAATTTATAAATTTATAAACATATTTAAGTATAAAAAATATTTGAAACATTTTTAAAAAATAAAATAAAAAAATTAGTATTTTGTTTCTAAATAATGAAAAATCAGCCTCATTTTTTTGTTATACTAGTATTTTTTTAAATTTATTTTATCCTGATATTTTTTTAAATATTTTTATATATAATTTAATTTATTCTTTAATAATTAATATTAAATACTAAATTATATTATATTAATTATAAAGTTATATATAAAGAAAATTAAGTAAATAAAAAGAATAATTTTAATATATAATAATTTTAATATATAAAAATAAAATGTATTTATTATAATATAAATAATTATTTAATAATAAAAAAAATATATATAATATATTGTAAAAATATTTAAGATATATAATTAAAAATCAATTAAAATATAATTATTTATCAAATATTTTAAATATAATTATTTTATTTAATATTTTTTTTTTTTTAATAATAAAATTATTATTTACAAAACGTAAATAATTTTTGTTTTTAAATAAATAATGGATTAATTCATATATATATATATATATTTTTTTAAAATTATTATCTTTTAATTAAAGTATAAATAATTATAAAAAAGTACAGAAAAAATGTTTTATAATTTAAAATTATATAATATAAAAATATAAAAAAATGAATATATATATATATAAATAAATTAAAAAAAAAATATATATATATTTATATATATATCTCTATTTATATTTATATTTATTATTATTAATTAAAAAAAATTAAAATTTTATAATATCTTTTTTTTTACGTATGTATTTATTTATTATATAATAATATTAATATTTTTTTTTTTTTTAATTAACATATATAATTAATTTAAATTTAAATTTTTTAATATCTTTATATATATTTTTTTATTAAATTCTTTTATTTTAATTTATTTTTATAAATTTTCTAAAATAACTATAATATTAATATTTATTAATCTTTTAAAAAATTTTAAGTTTTTTAATATAAAAAAATATATAAATAAATAATAATAATAATAAAATTATTCTTAGTTTTTAATATCTTAATTAAAATAATATTAAATTTTTTATAACTTATTAAATTTTTAATAATTTTAATATTAAATACAAATTTTAAAATAAAAAAAAAATTATAAAATATTTATATATATATTTATATAAATTTATATTTATTTTTACATACTTTTATTATTATAATTAATATTTCTTAATAATTTTATATTGTTTTTATAATTTATATATATAATTAATTTTTTTTTATTTTAATTATTTTTCATAAAATCTTAAATACATTTGAATTTTCTATTAACTAAATTTTTTTTTTAAATATCATAATTATAATTATTTAAATATATTAAGAAAAATAAATTAAATTTTATATAAAATTGAAAAATTTAAATATATTATATAAATTGACGAATTTTCTAGAGAATATTATTAATTTAATAAATTTTTTCTAGAAAATTTATTTGAATAATAATTAATAAATTAAAAAAAAAATGCTTATAAAATAAGAATATTTAATAATTAAATAAATGTAAATTTTTTATTTATTTATATATAAATATTTATAAATTTTTTTTAATATTAATTTTTTTTTTTATATTTATATATTTATAAATATCATAAATTTTTTTTTATATATAAGTTTTTATTTTTTAATTTATATTTTATATATTTTTAAATATAATTTTTTTTCATAAATTTTCTTAATTACAAATTTTATTATTTGTAATTTTATTAATTTTTTTTTTCAGTTTTTATTTATTTAATTATATAATTTTAAATACTAACAATAAATTCAAAAATTAATTTATTAAAAATATAAAATTAAAATGTCTTCTAATTTCATTTTTTGACTATAGACAATTTTTTTTATACTATATTTATATTTTTAGTTTATTTATATTCAAAACATATTTTTATATTTTAAAAATAAATAAATAAAAAATTTACTTTTGTTAACACAAAAAATATTTATAAAATTAATTATATATAAAAATTTATTATAATAATTTAATTATTATGGTAAAACATCTTTCTTAAACATTAAATGATATAAAAATTGAATTTGATAATGGAAACAAATAGAATTTTTATAATTTTAATTAATAAATATCTCATAATGCTAATTTAGCAATACTATAATCTTAAGTTAATGATGATAAAATATAAATAGATAATCTTTAACATGAACAAAAATACTCTTAAATACTAGACTAAATTACAGAAACAAATATCTAAAACTAATAAATACTAGATAAAGTATATTTTTATAATTACGATGAAGAAAGTGAAATAAATTTAAAATAAATATAAAAAAAAAGAAATGAATTTATATAATTTAACTGGTATGTGTTTATTGAATTTTTTTTTATCATATTCTGTATTTTTTGATTTTAGGAAATTGTTTAAATATAATTATTTATTTATTTTTTGGAAAAGCTTTACCAAGAAATCTGCTTTTTTGGGGAAATAATTATTTGGCTATAAAATATTAAATATAATAATTAATTAATTTATCAATAATTATTTTATATTTTCATTTATAGCCTTAAAATATTTCTTTTGAGTTTGATATTTTTTTACTTTTAATTTATTAAATTTTAAATGCTTATTTAAAAAGTGTTAATTACGCAACTTTAGATTAATATAAATTAAGGTCTTTTAGAAATTAAATTTTTGATTTTTAAGAAATAAAAGAAAATCTATTTATTGATTCTTGGAATGAATAAAATAGAAAAGTAATTTTGTATTATTAATTTATAAATTTTAATCATATTTTTATTTATTTTCATAGTATATATATGATGAAATATAATATTCTTTGAATACTTTTGATATTGATAAAAGCATGTTTTATCTTGAATTTATTACTCCTCCTTAATAAGAGACAATTTTTAAATTAAATTTTTATTCAAACGAATTAAAAAAGCATTTCTATATTGAAAACTTCTAAGAATTTTAACCTAAATTTATAGGATAAATTAAAGATAGTTAAGCTTATTATGGATTTGTAATAATAAGTTATATAATTGAGAAATTTTAAATATAGAATTAATTTACATTAAATGTTATAAAATTCTTATCGATATTTTATAGTATTCCGAAAATATTTCTAATAATAGTTTATAAAAGAAACTATGAATTAAATAGTTTTATAGATATATTAATATTATTAATAACAATATTTATGACAATAAATTATTTATATTTATCTCATGAGTCTATTTATTAAATTTTATCTGGAATATTAGATATGAAAAGAAAAGTAAATAAAACAAAACTTATTTTATTAATTTATTTGGAAAAAAAAAAAAAGTTATTTATGATGTAATAACTTGCTTTTTTAATTTCTCCCAGGAAAATAAAATCAATAGATACTGATAAAATATTTCCTACTTTAAATATTTTTAAAAGTTTGAGTATAAAAGGATGGTTATTATTAAGATAAATATGCTAAGAATATGGAAAAAAACATGAATTTAGATAATAATACATTCTTTAAATAATATTAATATTAGAATCGTTTGGAATTGGTATGATATTTTTTCATTTTTTTAATATTTATAAAATGTAAAACTGTTTAATATATTTGATTCTTTATGATACTCCTTTTGTTTTTATTTTTCTTATTATTATTATATATTATGGGGCTCTTATTAATAGTAAATATGATTTACATCTATATATATTAAATTAAAACAAAATCATTATTTAAGATATTCAAAGATTAGAAAAAATATATTTCAATAAAGAATTTAAACCTAAAAATATAATTTATGCAAAAGCTGTATAAATAATACTTAAAGATATATAAGGAATTAGTAATTAAATTTCTGTTTCTAGATATTTATAAGAATTAAATGAATCTTATACATAATTTATTTAAGAAATATAAATTCTTAAATAATATAATTAATACAAAATTTTATACATTAAACCTAGTTTTCTTGTTTTATAAAATCTTATTTTGGGGTTTTTAAGTTTAGTTTTTACTTTTGTTGGAAGCTATTTAAGTAAACAAATAATTAACAATTGAAATCTATTTTCATATATATTATATTAATTTTAATTAGTTCATATTATTAATATTTAATTATTTGTTCATATTTATTAATATTTAATTATTCCTGTAATTTTTATTTTAATAAAAAAAGGACTAATTAATATATTTTATTAAAATTTTTTATTGAAAAATTAGTTTTTAATAATATAATTAAGGGATAAAAAATATATATATACAAAATTATATATAATTATTTTATAATTTTTTTTCTTAAAAATAATAAATAAAATAAAATAATTTATAATTAAAAAATTTAAATATTATATTATAATTAAAAAAAAAAATTAAGATGTTTTTTTATATATTTATTTTTATGTCCATGATTTTTTGTTTATTCTTCTTTTATTGCTTTATTTAAATTTACTTTTATTAAGAATTAAATATAAATTTTTGATTTTATACATTAAGTAATTTTAATAAATAAATATTTATTATAAATTTATATTTAATTTTTTATATTTTTTTTTTTTTTTTATTATATTTATACTTCTAGATTGTATTTCTAATATAATTTTTTGTATTTAATAAATAATCTAAATTAGATCTTAAGTGTTATTGTTAAAATAATTATAATTTGATATTTTTTAAAAAAGCTTAAACATATAATAATATAATACAAAAATAATTAAATTTTAATAATATTAAAATATATTTATATATATTTATTGAAATTTTACTATAATTATTTTTATATTTTTTTTTTAAATGTATAAATTTAATTTAATTATAAAATCAAATAATTATATTTTATATTTAATTTTAAAAACAATTATTAATTACTTTATAATTATATAAAATTAAATAAATATTATTTTTTTTTTTTTTTTTTTATAAAAATAAAAAATATCACAAATCTCTTTTTTTCTATACGAAATAATTTCAAAGCCATCTTCATCAATTTATTTTTTTCCAAAATCTTCTTCAATATCTTCCTCCCAATTCGGTTTTTATAAAATAAAACCTCCAACAATTTTCCAAATTGCCTCTTTATCTTTATAAAACTATCCATAAACATCTATTTATCCCTATAAGACCCTACTATTATACATATACTTAACATTGCATCCTAAATATCTTTTCGTTTATTAATTTTATAGATAAAATTGCTATTTACCTTCTATAGGTGTCCCATCTTTTCATTTCCAGCACATAATATAATAAAATTATCATAAGCATCACCAATTCCATTATTCCCGTAAGAAATAATTTCCTAATGATGATTCATATGTGAATTATTAACTGTAGAATGAATATTTTTTTAAGTCTAAATATGTTCTAATCTAATAACATCTCCACATTTAACAACATTTGCATATGTCATTTAAGGGTAACTCATACCTTCTTTAATTGTAAATAAAGAATTAACATCTTAATCAGTTTATACTGCAGTGACTATATTTCCTATTGATTATTCATTTAAATAAACTTCACTAGTCCTTAAATGGTATTTATTTTGCTGATTTCGAATTCTTATAGTGGAGCCATATGTGATTTATTTTAAATTAAGCTCTTCTTGTATATTATCTTCTTTTTAGAAGGAAAATTATAAATATAATATTAAAATATTAATATATATATTGTTTTTTTCATCATATTTATTGTTTTTTTTCTTTTATATTTTTTTTAGAAAAATTAAATAAAAAGAATATTTATAAATAAAAACAATTAATAGATAAAAATAAAGAATATATATTCAAAGTAAAGAAATCATAAAAAATCTATAATAAAAATAAAACTTTAATATTTTTTTCAATAACTTTCTGGAAAATAAAATAAAATAAAATATAATTATACATTAAATAAAATCAATTTAAATTTTATTATCTATATATTCGTATTTTTTAGCTATATTCTTATCTATAAATAGTTTGTCAACATTTTATATATATAAAAATATTTTATTTATTGATTGAAATATATTATCTGCATTTATTGATTTTATTTTTCTAAGATAAATCAAAAGACCTACTTACTACTTCATATAAAGCTAAATATTTTAAATTATTATTAGATGGGCTAATTAATTTTTATTAAATTATAAAAATATTGTTTTATGAGTTAATCCAATATAATTTTTTATAATTAAAAAAAATATGTATATTTTTTACTTTAAATTAAATAGAAAAATTCATTAAATAAAAAAAAATGAAATACCTAAAATAAAATATGTATTATTTCATATATTGATAATATAAATAATTTATTTAAAAGTAATTAAATTATATAAAAAATTATAATATATTAATTAAAATATTTAACAGTATTTAAAAACAAATATTTAGTTTGTTTTTTTTGGCTAAATACTTTTAATTTTGATACGTATATTAAATGTAAATACATTAATAATATATATATATTTTAGAAAAATAAATAGTATTTAAATATAATATAAACATTTATTTATTATTTTTTGTTCTTTTCAAATTCAAAAATTAAAGAAAATTTTTGTTACCATTTCAGCAATTTATTAATTAATTTTAGATTAAGTTTATTATTTTCTTATATTCCCTATTGCATTAACATAACTTTTCTAAACACTTCCAATATTAGAATTATAAAGCAAAATTTAATCTATTTTATTTAAAACTTATTATAAATCTTTTTTATCTAATTTATCTAACATAAATTTTATAAAAAATTATAGTTTTCGCATACTTTTAGTACTTTTATTTATTTAAAAATAAAAAATATTACAAAATATTTAATTCTTTTTGTTTACATTTTATTTTTATTTATTTGATTATTTTTCTCATCTAATATTTATTGAGTTGTTATAAATAAATCTTTATCAAAAAAATTATTTAAACTATTTTTTTTTCTATTAAATATTATTAGTTTTCATCTTAAAACATAAAATCATATTCATCTAAATTTTACTCTTCTTTTTTCCAATCCAAATTTTGTTAAGTGCTAGTTTCGTATTCTAATTATTCTTAAATATCACTTAGTTAAGACTTTTATGAATTTCTATATTATATGCATTTTTACTAAATAATTTATTATTATATTCCTTATAAAGGCTAAATTTAATATTAATCATAAAGAATTTAAGTATTTTAATTTTATGTAAATTCATTTTAAAATTAAGAATATTAAATATCATCAGTTTAATACTATTATTATGTTTATTATGATTACAAACTATAATTTCTATTCTAAGCTTTTATTTTTTTAAGAATTAATTTTTTTTATTATTTTTATTTTTTAGAAATAAAAAAAATACTTAATTAATTCAAGATAAAATTTTCTTAATCATTTAAAAAATAGTTATTTTATTAATTCATGTAGTTCAAATATTCCAAAAAATTAAGTTCAGCTTGTTATCGGTCTATACTATTAAAAATATTTAGTATTTCTTTCTGTTCATAATCTTAAAATTTATGTAAAAATTGTTATAATAAAAGTGAATCCATTTTAATTTATTTATTAATTAAAATTCTAATATATAAATTAAAAAAAATTATTTCAAAAATGCTTATATTGATGATATTAATTAATATTTTATATTAACTAAAAAATAGTAAGAATATTAAATAATAATAATTAAATAAATATATAAAGAAATATTTAAAATAGCAAATATACATCAATGAATAAATAAAATATATATTAAAATAATAACTTTAAATTAAACTAAAAAATGTATTTTAACTATATATAATAATAATACTTAATATATATAATATATATAAATCCATTTTATTATAATTTAATATATTTTTAAAAATATTATATTATTAATTAATTTTAAAATATTATTGCTCTCAAAAAAAAAACGAATATTTTGTCATAATTAAAATATTTATAAAATTTAAATTTTAAATATTTTAATAACAATAGTTTAAAAAGTTAATTTAAATTTATTTTATTACATAATAAATAATAAATAAACCCTTTAATAAAATATATTTAACATATTAATGATTAAAATAAATATATTTAAATTAGACCATTTAATAATAATATAATAATAAATAATGAATATAATATATATTAATTTATATTTAAGTTATTTTAAATTTAAAAGTATTATATATTTCTGTTATAATAAAGTATTTCAGTTTATGTCAATCAATATTTTCTTTTATATAAAATAAAAATATAAATTAAAAATATTAATCCAAAATAATTAAAAAGTCTAATTAAGTCTAAAAAAAAAAAGAATATATGAAAATTCATAACTTCCTTTTGTTTATTTTATTCCCATTTTTTTCCTGCTTTTTAAATACTAAAAAATAACGCTTGCTTTGAACTCTGGTTCTAAAACTTTTTATTTTGACAACAATAGTTAAATTCTTTATAAACCAGTAATTTAATATATATTATGTATTAATATATACTCATTATTAAAATAAAGGATTATCATTATAGAATTAATGGCTAAATTAAAAATATATATGATTAATTTCCTAAAAAAGAAACCATTTTTAACACAAAATATGACTGGAATATACACTAAATAGAAGTTTTTGATGAAAATGAAATATCTTATTAAATTCCAGTATAGTCAGAAAGCTTTTCAATAGTATTAGTATTTTCAGAGAATTTTTATTCAGAAATTGGACAAAGAGTAATGAAAATATAAATTGAAGATGAAGAAATAATATAAGAATTAGATATATATAAATAAACTAATGAAAAATATATTCCTTATTTCGAGTTAATTGAATTAAAAGTAGAAAATGGGAATTTAATAAATGTTTAAAACAAAAAATAATAAAAGAACTTAAACAAGATATGAATTTTAACATTTATTTAAAAAGTTTAAAAGGAAATGCAAAAATCGATGCATTAATAATTTCTAATAGTAATAATAAAGAAATTTAAGATGAAATTTTCTAACTTTTTTAGAAAAAAACAAAATAAAGACTTCTAATAATGTTGATTAACTATAACATATTATGGCTTTAAAAAATGAGAATTATATATTTCCTTTTAAAAATTTATTTGAATAAAAAATAAAAAATAATTTATAATAATAATAATAGAAATAATAATTCTGCTTTTATTTAATTTAATGAAGGAGATGAGGCATTGGAAAGTCATAGATAGCAATATTATTAGTTATTGGAATAAATTTAAAAAACAATAATAAATATGTCTATTTTTTCGATATTGAATATATAAGAATAGTAAATAATATCATTTTATATATATAAATAATATTTAAATTTATATTTTATGTATTTTTATATCATTTATAGAAAGAATATATTCATAAAAATTTAAGTTGTTTGATTAATATCTTTAAAAATAATAAATTATTCTTCTGTTTAATAAGCATTAATTTTACTTTTTTATTATTACTTTTTAGAAAAAAATCAACTAATAGTGAATATGAATAAATTTAATAAAATTTGACTATTTACAACTTAAGTAAACCTTAATTAGGATATTAGAATTGAAGAATATAAACAAAAATATTCAATATTTAATAAATAACCATATAAATAATAAAAAATTATATAAAAAAAAAATATTTATTTAATTGTGTTTATAATTATGTTTAAAATTAATTTTAATATGATTATAAGTAAAAGTACTTTATTTTTATAAAAAAAATATAAAAAGAATTAATAATTATAGATTTATATATTAGTATTTTTAAAATTATTATAATATAAAAATAAAATTAGAAAATTTAATATTATTATTATTTATTTATAAGAAATTAATTGTAAATGAAAAAAATATAATTAATATTAATAATAAATATAAAAATAATATAATTTTTATTTTTTATTTATAATTAATATTTAAGTTATTTTTAAATATTATGTTAATTACAAAATTTTAAATTTAACATTTTTATTTAATAATTAATATAAAATATTTATATATTTAGGCATCATATATTTAAAAGTATATAGTTTAAATAAACAATACATTGATTTAAAAAATATTTTAATGTATATAATAAGATTATTATATTTATATAAAACTAAGTAAATATATGTAATATTGTATATATTTTTTAGTAATTTATATAAATAACTTTTAAAATTTTTAAAATGTAATTCATATTAAATATTTTATATATTAAAAATAATTTATATAATTAATTGATGATAAAATATAGATAATAACAATAGTTTTTACTTTTCAGAATAAAATAAAATTAAATTATTATTTAAATAAATTAAAAAAATTGAAAAAAATTTATACTTTTTATAAGATAATTTTTCCTTGCTAATTATTTTTAAAATTTAAAATATAAAAATAAATATAATTTTAATAAACATAAATATTAAAAT